AGGAACAGGAAATCAGAGGAGTATGTAAGGGGCTGCAACCAAATATCAGGAAATGTGTTGTAGTCTATTCATGTAACACAAGGCTTAATAACACTGACAACAGAGCGTGTTTATACCCTGACACAGAAATAATTAAATTTTCTATTTTTAGTATTCATGCTGCGCCCCACTGTTTGTACAAACTGCCTCAGAGGTCCAAAGAGGAGAAAATTGAAGATGCCTTGCTGTGTCTGGGTCCACTTGTAAGTAAAACCAAACTTCTTTTTTTTTCTAAATTAAGTTTGTTCCTGTGTTATTGATGATCTTCCCATGAACAGATTTTAACCACCCAGTTGCAGACTGTTGTTTCATCTTTCTTTTTTTTCCCCTCAGGGTGAAACGTTACCTTCTCCTGCTGATCAGAAAAACAGCTTCTTAGGTTTGACAGCCAACAACTGGCTGTATCGCCTCTCAGCTGAAACAGGAGAAGAGATGCAGAGGGTTTACCTCTCTTCAGACTATAAGTTCAGGTATCTTTAAGGTTTTGAGTTCTGTATACTTTGAGATTGCTAATTTAATTTTCAGTTGGTTTTTTTATTTTATTTTAAAATACACACTAACTTTTCAGCATGTTATTGTTTTGTAGATATCTTGGCTGGGATATTTCACAGGAGCGATTTTATGTCAAATCTGTTCAAAAGAAAGACACACCTTTAGCTAGTCAGGTAAAGAGAATTTATTTACTCACAACATTTGTGCCTTAATTAAGAGAGAGAGTACACTTTATAAAAAATAAAATAAAACCTAGGATTTTACTATAAATGTTTTTTTTTTAAAAGTTAAGAATTTTGAAATATATACATAGCACCCTGAAATTACTTAAGGAATTGAGCTATCACTAGTCAAGTCTCTATAACTTAGCATTTCTGCTGCTCTTTAAATGCACTAATTATTTGTTTAGTCTTCAAGATGTTATAAAATATTAAAAAATGTCTATTATAATCTCCCAGATCTCAAAAAGATGCCCTCTAGTTGCATGTTTTGTCTCACCAACAGTCCTAAACGCAGTACATTCAGTTTACAGTAATAGGCAAATCTGGATAATCAGTGAATCTTCACATTTGAGGAGCTAGAACCAGTAACCCTTGGCAATTTGCTTTGTAACTGTCTGCTTTGATCTAATTAAACAATATAATTTTACTTCTAGCTCTACAAAAGGATCTCTCATGTATTAAAGACATTTTACCATTTGCTTTTTTTTTTTTTATTCCACAGGCAGATATCACTCAGAACACAGTGATGCACCTGGCCATTTTTACTGTCTTCCCCTTGCAAGTTGTGGGCCTTTTGGAGATCAACAGAAAGGTCCGGAGATATATTTTTAATTTATGTTTTTTTTTAAACATGTCTTATGGGCGTCATATGTTTTTAAAACGTAAATCTTTTTCTTACAGCAATTTGGGAATGGTGTTACTGACGTTGTGCTGTCTCAGGGTGTCCTTGCAGTGTCTTACAACAACAAGTCAGAGAAGATGTACAGCTTGGAGTACATTATTGAAAAGGTTTGCATTTGTCTTGTCCTGGGCTTACTGCAGTGTTGAAGGCTGCATGTTTACATCATAATTTTGTTTTAAAATTTGCATCAAAAATACATTTGTTGAAAATAGTGCGTCTGTAAATATTTGCAAATGTAGTCCTTTTTTTTTTTTTTTTTTAATTACTGTTCTCGCTCATCTTGCTACTTAGATCTATGTCTGTGTGATCAATACTGCCCTGGTTTTCAGTACTTGACAGAGAAGGTGACACTTGGAAAGCAGAGCGCACTACTTGGAGGCAAAACAGTGGGAGATGCTCCATTTGGGATCCCATTAAACATTCAGATCACAGGTGGGTCAGTGTTTAGCTCTAGACCAGTGCTGTCTTTGTGTTGAAGATTTGATTAAAACTATTTTTCTGCTGTGAGCAAGAAACAAAATAAGAAGGTTCTTCTTTTTCTTATTGCACAGACTGCCCTCCGGTGCTTTTCGAGGTGTCGTGTTCTAATGACGGTGTGCAGATTGGAGGCTACCCTTGGCACTACATCTACACACCACCACAGAGACGTCACAAAGGGACCTACCACGTCTGTTCACTCAAGGACAGCACTGTGGTATGTTCAGAGAAACCTTTAACTATACAACATCATATTTAAGTAGGAGTGGCAATTAGAGATCGACCAATATGAAATATTCTGGGCTAATGTTGATGCAGATTGTTGGCAGTTAAGAAAGACAGATACCTGATATTTGAAACCAATACATTACATGTTATGTTATAGCAGCATGATATAGCAGAGAACCTGCCATTCATTACTGGCATTCTTCAATAATGATTACTATAGCTGAATATGAATGCTAGCAATGGTGTCAGAGCATCACAGGATGTAAGGACACTCCTTTGTCTACTGTGAGAGCAATAACTGTCCTCCTGCTCTTAAGTCTGTCACTCTTCTCTGTTTTGATCTGCTAGAGAGACATTGCTGAGACCATAGAACGACTACAGAGTCTGCTGCATCAGACCCAAAGTAGTGCATCTAATTTATCGATCGGTTGTGATCAGTCAGTGGAAATCTGAGTGCAAAACGTAACACGTGCTTGACTATTTTAGATAAGTAGCCCCAATCCTGCTGTGTGATAAATTTAACTGCTGCCAAATTGGTCAGGGTCTGTTGAAAGAGTCTGGGTAAGAAGGGCCACAAATGTTTTTGACAGTCTTTGCATTCAGCTGCTGGACAGAGCAGGACAGAACCAAACCTGTAATCACTGATCAGACCCAGTGTCTGGTCCTAATCTTCGCCTAATCACACAGGCTTCTCTGTATTTTTGCTAGATTACTACTAATTTTGTTTTTGATGACACTACTTTTTTTATTTTTTTTTCAATACAGAGTCACATCACATTTAGCTGTTGTCACTTGTAGACATTCTGCACAGCGGTCTAAAAGAAAAACACATTTGCACCACTGTTTTTGAAATAGTAGCAGGAGACATTATTAACAGATCTTATTAGACTCATATCAAACAGCAGCAGCATGTTTCACAATCATGTTTAGACGACACTCCAGTTAATCTGCACTCAGTCATTTTTGGGTGGAGTATCACTTAAAGGGACAGGTTATGGTCTCTCCCAGCAACTCTGATCTAAAGACGTGCTATCCAATCCCATTGCAAATCAAATGGCTTTATAGTCATTGTGAATGGCCAAACAGGAATAACTGCACATTTTAAGACGATCTCTGAGTGGACATGATAATAACATGGCATTGGGTTTCCATGGAAAATAAATAGTTAATTAATACATTTAGTGTCTGACTCTATCCAACCCTCTGACATGAGGTTTGGACGGACCATAAATCCAGTTTCAGTCAAGTGACGCTGTTTCCCACATTGTGAGCCATTAATCATCATTCAAAGAAAGTCATTAAATCCCTCCAAGAACGAAGGCATGCTCGAATTTCCTGTTGAGTTTTTAGAAGAATTACATGATCAAAGCTATGTAGTCATGGTTTTGAGCACAGTTTTCTAATTAGTAACGTGTCATTATTGAGTCATATGTTATTTTGTAATTTTGTGAAATTAGGCGACAAATGGAATACGGAACATGAACTGCTGGTCTCTGGAGAGCGACGGGATTTTCTTTCATCCTGATGACTCGGGAAGAATCATCCATATTGGACCCACAACTATAAAGTGAGTGCTTTAGTAAACATTTACATATCATTTAGTCAAAGAGTGCAGAGTGACATCATTATCATTCTTTACATGTACATACAATGTCATTGTGATGTTTTTTCTTTTTTCCCCCCTTTTACTCAAGTTTCCTAAAAATCCTTGATGAACTGAACGGTGCTTTGCCATCAAAGGTGGTTGAGATTTTCTCCATGGCAACCGATCGGACTGAAGTAAGTTTAATTTTTAACTGCTCAGAAGTTTCACACTGTGCTGTTGTGACAGGGTAGACTTTGCTTCAGATGATCATTGATCAGCTTTGTGTTTATATTCTGTCTTTACTGCATGCAGTACTTCAGCCTAAGCAGAGGCACAAAGCTGATAATCTCCTCAGTGTAGGGATAAAACGTACATGTATAGTCTCAGAAAACACATCGTTTCTGCTTTCCCTCTGCTGCAGTCTGCCCCACAAGTCACTGCCACCTCAAGAGGCCGAAAAGTGAAGAGACGATTTCGTCGGCTGGATGATGACCCATCTCAAGAGGTACCAACAGGATTACACTTGGACTTGGAGCTTAAAGTGTACAAGCACACAGTGTGGTGCAAATAACTTACACAGACCTACTGTGTGTGGATTATAGTGTACTATGAAATCCAAGACGCATTGTGGGCACGTGTGCAAAACATGGTGGGGTTTTTTTTTCCATTAGCAAATCCCATGAAAAGTCTAAAATAAATGGTTTGATCATAGTATTGTCTGTGTATTCAATGCCTAATGCAGGTTGTTTCTCTGAGTCATCAGCTGTCTAAAAACTACTGAAAGACTCATAAATGAGTCACATCTCAGCACAGGCCTTACAGTAGTTTATTTTTAGTCATTCCCACCTACGATTATCATTTATAAATGCTCACTGGAGCAGCTCATCTGTGGCTGAAAATAGACCTAAATGTAGTTTTAACATTTTCTGTAAACTATGGTGTCCAGTGGGAAATTATCATTATTTTGCTTTTGGTTTAAAATAAGTTATATATTTATGACTGTTATTTTTAAATTTATTGATTGAGAGTCGATAGCAGGTATTCAAAACATATTTAACATATATTAGCAAAGTTTTGCAACAGCTTTGTGTGCATATCCATCCCTGTACTAAGTACTCAGGCCTCTGCATATTTTTATATGTAAGAAAAAGTTTTCAGGGGCATTCTTTCTAAAAATTTAATCAAGATCAAACCAGTGATGACTAATAACACAAGCGAATATCCTGAGAACCATATTTACAGCTGAGTAGTAAAAGGTAAATGTGGTTGCTGGATTTCAAACAGCATTTCAAGTGCTAAGTCCCCAGAAATATTACCTTTAATTCTAAGCAGGAGCTCGATGCATTTAATTGTGTGAACAGATTCCTTCAGGCCACATCATTGTTAGATATTGTATTTGTAACCATTGCAAACACTGACGTCAGAGTACCGATCGCGTCTCCGTGTACATTTGTGCACTCAGGGCTTAAATGTAACCACTGAAGGGCAGTACGGAAATGTTTTTTCAGCTAATGTGAAGCTCCTGAGGATACCGATAAGTAGCAGGACACAGGGTTACTTGTGGAGTTGGTACCAGCAGTAGTTGTAAATACTTAAAACTCCACACAGTGTCTCCGATGTCAGAAATTCACAACAAGCGTTTGATGTTGCAGACTTTCCGAATGGTGGAATATGAAGATGAGCTTGACCTCCTGGCCGTCGTGATAACTAAGGGTGATGAGGGAGAAGGACGGGCTCACGTTCGACTGCACGACAACCTGAGCGGACAGTTATATCGGAGGATTGATCTGGTTGAATCCTGGGATGAGGTGAGTAACTTTCCATGAATGTACCAGCGTCAGGCTGCATTGAATAGTCTGTGCATGGATTCATGGGCGCTCCTTATCTTTTGTTTCAGACGTATCGACACGAGCTGTTCTTTGACAAAGACACACTTGTTCATATTGAACAAACGAGCAACAAGTTCTACTGCCACGTTTACAAACTCAACCCGACCAGATAATAAGTGGTGCAAGACTGAACCGACGGTGCTGGAAAGCATTAAATGATCGCATTTAAGATTTTGTACATGTTTGTTTGAAAGTTGTACACCTTTTCTGTATAGCTGATAATGCTGTTTTTTTTCACATCCACATCATTGCAGAATTTCTTTTGTGTGATGTACTCTTGATCACTAAGTTTTTAAAAAAAAAAATTAAATCACTAAGTCTTTGCATTAACTGTCACACCTATAAACATTTTTTAAACTTTTTCTAAAATTAAATGTTATATTTTTTCAATTTTCTCTTTATATCTGCTTTCGTCTTTCTTTCCATTACACACATCCAAATAACGAGCCTTTAAAAAGTTGCCCTGAGTCAGAATCTGAGACAGTTGTGAGGTTGTTTGCTTTTGTTAGCAGGCTGGTGTCAATCAGACCTGATGAAACCACCCCGACACAGTCCTGATGAAGTAGGTTTCACAAAGTGATTTGCCAGCTGCGGGGCTCTCGTGCAGATTGAATGTGGCGACAGTGTCACGAATGATTGTTGCTTGCAAATTGCAGATCAGTTTACAGGGCTCTTTCATCGTCAAGCATGGCTTGCAAATATGGTGTTTTGATTGGTGGAAAGTGTTTAAATTAACATGAGAGAAAATGATCTTCTTATATGTAACCTTTACTTCCACTGAGGAGGAGGCCTCTTGCACATGTGCTGAGTGTACATCAAACACAACAAACATAACAGCAGCCAGCGAAAAGAGAGATATATTGATGAGATATAGTAAAAGAAAAGAGACCGTACCTGTTAAAAAAAACTAAATAAAAATACACTTAAGCATGTGGAGAGACCAATAATGTAAAAACAGCTGATAACGTAATAAATTTGCAGTTTTTAAAATGTAATAGGCCAATAATGTAATGAAAGTCCTAAACTGATAACGTAATATCTTTTGACCAATAACGTAATAACTTATTACGTTATTGGTCTGGTAAAAAAAACTAAATCTTTGCAAATAACCAAGCGGAAAGTTATTACGCTATCGGTTCAGGACTTTCATTACATCATTGGCCTATTACATTTTAAAAATGGCAGATTTATTACGTTACTGGCCGTTAATACGTTATTGGCTTCTACAGCATGTATAGAATATTGTTGGAAGAATGTGTGTAGCTAAAATAAATCTTGCCCTTATGCCCTCATACACTTCAATAAAAAAAATAATGTGTAATTTATTATATTAATATTTGTAAACAGTTCTGGGGCTCTATGCTTGTTTTTTTATGATCTAAGGCATCAGGAAAGATTTTTGTCTCATGTTTTAATAGTCCTAACCTGCATGTTTAATGACAATTTTTTGTGGTTTAATGCACTCAGCTGCCAGTTTACACGGTACATCTGGCTAAAAATATGAATATTAAGTCTAAGACAACAGTGCTGCCTTGATGACGCTTGTCATGTTCCGTTTTGGTTGAAAGAAGTATTGATTCAACTGTGAGCTCACTGACGACACTGAAATTAACTTCTGATATTCAGCTTCATATTCAGCAGTTAGGGCTGCAAGATGGAGCGGTGGTTAGCGCCATTGGCTCACAGCAAGAAGGTCGCCGGTTCACGTCACCCAGGATCTTTCTGCGTGGAGTTTGCATGTTCTCCCCGTGCAGCGTGGGTGTCTCTTCCTCCCACAGTCCAAAAACATGTTGAGGTTAATTGGTGATTTTAAATTGTCCGTAGGTGTGAATGTGAGTGTGCTTGGTTGTCTGTCTCTAAGTGTAGCCCTGTGATAGACTGGTGACCTGTCCACGGTGTTCCCACCCTAAATCAGCTGGGGTAGGCTCCAGACCCTAGTGAGGATTAAGAGGTGTATAGATAATGGATGGATGGATGGATTCAGCAGTTAACAAAGCATTAACTTAATTTAATCCACATTTTTATGATGTAGATCTATGTAAGATATTTTAGATAAGCCCTTAATGCTGCCTGAAACCTACTTTCAAATTTGTGAGACTTCTTTTTAATGCAAATGTAGAAAAGGGAGATCTGTTTTTCCCCACATTAGACCAATTCCAGAGCCTAAAACCAATACAAACATACTGTTCAAATCTGGATTAGGTTGTCCTACAGAGGCTAAAGAGGCTTTCAAACACAGTCTCTGAGTTGTGAAAGCTGTCTTTTTTGTGTGAAATGCAAAAAAGTAAGCTTTCACTGCTGTTTTAGACATTTGAACCACATTAGACCAGAGTTTTTAAAACAGTCTCTGACTTGTCAAACCTTTAAACTTGTGAATATTTATGAAAATGCAAAAGACAAAAGAAAAAACAGGGAGATTTCACTTCACTTTTCCACATATGGACCACACTAGACAATTCCACATTCTAAAACCACTACATGTACACGACTGGTCAGATTTGAATTAGATTTCCCTACAGAGGCGAATAAGTCTTTAAAACACAGCCCCTGATTTGCAAAACTTTTCTTCTATTTAAGACATGCAGAATAAAAAGTGTTATTTTGTTAACATGATGACCACATTAGACCAAATTCTGATTTAAAAAAACACCCCCAAAACTGGACTATATTGTCCTACAAGAGTCTTTAAAACAGTTTCTGATTAGTGGAATGTTTGTTCTATTTGTGAACATTTAAAAAAGGGAGATTCCATTCTTTTCTTTTCTTCTTTTTTCTATCTGGACCACATTAGATGAAGTCCAGACCTAAAACCACTATCTACAGACTGGTCAAAACTGGTCTAAAGTGTCATAAAACACAGTCTCTGCTTTATGAAACATTTATTCTAGTTGTAAAAGAGCAATAAAGGGAGACTTTACTTCCCTTTTTTTCTTAATTTGGGCCACTTCGAACCAACTCCTCGTCTTAAAAACAACGCTATTAAACTGCACCACAAAGTGCAGATGACCAGTCAAAGCAACATGTGTGCAAAAAAAAAAAAAGCATTAAAACCTTTTTGTGCATGACTAACCTGGAGCTTTAACTCCACACAGAGAGGCTGTGATTAAGTTTTACTGAAGCCAGAGCGTGACAGAGCACAAAAACAAACCCATCGCAGTAGTTTTGACTGGTCCCAGACTCTTCTGTAACCACCGAGGTTACAAAACGCCTCTCCTCCAAACATGAGCGCGCCTCGGGGTCACGTGACCGCGCCGTCCTCAGCAGGCTCCACTTGAACGCGTCGCAGCTCCGACGGCAGCTGCTGCAGCTCAGACTGAGGAGGAGGAGGAGGAAGATGGACAATCTGAAGCAGTTCCTGGTCGCCCTGTGTGCTGCCGCCGCCGTCGGCTTCGTGGCCATAATATTCGTGCTCAGATGGGTCCTCCACTTTAAGGAGGGTTTAGCCTGGGACGGAGGACTGGCTGAGTTCAACTGGCATCCGGTGTTAATAGTCACCGGATTCATTTTCTTGCAGGGGATCGGTGAGGAGACTCCTTTTTTTCTCTCTCTCTAGGAAATAAGGCCTGGAAGTGGAATGTGTTGTTTAAAAGAAAAAATGTAAACAGTAAGTGGAAGTTATTGCTAAAGGCCAAGTTACACAAGGCTCCCTGTCCAAGGATCCTGGGGGAGGGGAGGTGCTGATGATAAGTTGGTGATTAGAAAAGCACAGATCAGTCAGTAAACTTTCACTGAAACTGGCTTAAAAAGAGCTTAAGTTATTGCATCAGCCACAAACAGACACTGTGCTTCCCCTTAATGTGAAGTTATGAATTGCTCTGAAGGAAACATGAAGTTTACACATGGCGTAGAGGTCTCACTTGATCTTAATAGCCTCAGGAGTAAATAGTATAATCACTATAATAGTATCTGAAGTGGTTCATATCAGCCTCAGTATGTGCCTGACAAACAGGAAATCTCACTTAACCCCAGCAATGGAAAATGACTTTGCTGTTTAAACAGTAACAGAGTCAAGTTTTAAAATTGTGCATCATAGTTACAACTTTACAAACATCCTTTTTCTCAAGCTGTGACATTAAACTTTCCTCTATACAGCAGTTCAAACACCTAAGTGTCATTTACAGGCTGCTAGACCTTCTGCAGGAAGATATTAGACTGTTAAGGTGATTCTCAGCCATCAAGAACTAGTTCTTTTCCAAAGCCTGTTTCTGTGATATGCTTTTGGCAGATGACCTCTTCAGTGTCGACTTTATCTCCAAACTCAGTCTCTCTGTGCTCCACAAGTACCACCTGCTCTTTCTTCTACTTTAACTGACAGCGAGTGATCCTCTCTTGCAGCCATAATAGTCTACAGGCTCCCCTGGACCTGGCAGTGCAGCAAGCTGATGATGAAGTTCATCCACGCAGGCTTGAACCTGACAGCATTTGTTTTTGCTGTTATATCCTTGGTGGCCGTTTTTGATTTCCACAATTTTGCCAATATTCCCAACATGTACAGTCTGCACAGCTGGCTGGGCCTGACTGCAGTTATTCTCTACTGTCTGCAGGTAAATACACGCTATTTTTCAGTGTTTATTTTGAGTGTTTGATTTTATAGCAACGCAGAATGCTGACATTTCTACTTGTACTTGACATTTGTTACCTAAGCAAACTGTTTTCATGCTACTGTACCATTTCCAGCTTTAGTAATATGTCTTTAATGGAGCTGGGGATTGGTTAAACACCTGAGAAAGGACATACAGAGTAGTGCGGTATCGCTTTAGGATTCTCTCTAACAGCCTTTTGCCCTTGTGGTCGTTTCTAAAAAAGCTAAGTCACTGTGATAAGTGCAAGCATTTTTTTCTCTCCCTCTCTCCTTCAATGAGCAGCTTGTTCTTGGAGTTGGCATGTACCTGATACCTGTTACACCTGTATCCTGGAGAGCAGCATTCATGCCCATCCATGTCTACAGTGGTCTCTTACTCTTTACCAGCGTCATAGCCGTGGCACTCATGGGCATCACAGAGAAACTCATTTTTGGCCTGTAAGTTTTAAAAAGTAAAGGCTTAAATAATCTGACCAGTATAATACGAGGTGTGTCAGAAAAAGCTTCAGGATTGGTGTCCCAAAAGATATATTTCAAATCCGAACAACAAGCTGCAAGTTTTCCCCTTCGAAGTAATGCCCCTGGTTGATCGTCTGAAGGGGAAACCTTGGGACACCAGTCCTGGAACTTTTGTGGCACACCTCGTAGAAATGCTGCTTAACAATATGTGTAACTTTTGTCTATTTTTTTGTGACAAAGGAAAGACCCAAAGTATAAGGACTCCCCTCCAGAGGCAATTTTTGTGAATGTTCTGGGACTCTTCCTGGTGATTTTCGGAGCTTTAATCCTTTGGATTGCCACTCGACCATCTTGGAAACGTCCCAGCGACCAGATCTTACATACTCTGCATACCAATGGGGGAGGTGAGGACAACAGCAAAGTTGGTCCAGCTATGTCTCAACTGTCTGATGAAGCTGAGGCTGGAGGGGATGTCAGGAGGAGGAGCAATAAATTGGATGAGCAGGCTAACTAATAATATTCCTGTTGGAGCTGATAGTGTCTTCAGCGTTGAATGTATGTACAACCAGTCTACACTGGTCAGAGAAAGTCAGAAGGAACACCTGGAATTGTTCTGCTCCTCCATTCATAACTTTCTCTTTTGCACCTTGGAAGTATTTTATTATGAGCTTGTTTTCTCTAACATTTATTATTTCAAGTGCTTGTAAATAATGGTGTATTAATTAAAAAAAGATTCAGATGATGGTGAGGGAATGGGCTGTATTGACATACACTGTCGTACCAAATAATCATGACAGATTTTCTATACTCTAACTCTAAATCTCTGTATTGTTGGGTTTTTTTTTTTTACCTACATTATATTTTGTAATAAATATTTACTTTTTCTGACTATGAATTACATGAGTATTACATGAGTGTGTAAACAAACATTGTAGTCGCTGTAATAGAGGAAATGTCTGTGTTATGAGCATCAACTTGTTATTATTGTAGATTTACAACACTAACCATCAGCACTTTGGCTCCTTGTTTCAATCTCATATTAATATGTTTCAGTGACAATAGAGTAGCATTTATTCATAACATGAACAACTACCTTTAATAGTATTTCTAAAACCACTATATAGACACTGGTCATATCTGGACTGGTGTATTCTACACACAAAAAGAAAAAGTTTTTGATTTCTGAAACCTTAATTTTATCTTTAAAAATGCAAAAATAAAATGCATGCCACATTAGACCACGTCCACCATACACATACTGGTCAAATCTGGACTAAAAACTTTAAAACACAGTCTCTGATTTGTGACCTGGTCCAGATTGTGTAGTTTGCAATGCAGTCTATGCAGAGCAGTGTTTCTGATGCTTGCCTTCACACCGGTAATGCTGTCTGGAGGTTCTGCCAAACTCACAACTCTCCATGCATGGCCTCAGATGACCGCAGCCACGTCAAAGCGAAGTGACTCTTTTTGGCTCCTCTCAGCACCTGTAGTTGGTTTGGCAGCCCGATTGTTTTGGCAGTTTCTGAAAGGCATTAAGTGTCGGGTCGAAAACCTGCTACAAGGTTTGTTATCTACATATTAGTGCCGTTATAGCTGCAGTATCACACACCTGTAACATCGTGTCCGCCTTTGTCGCTGTACTTTTAGACGAGCTATTTATTCATCGTGTGGTCAGTTCAGTTGAAGGCGCATGACAGTGCTGCGGACCGGGTTAGCCGCTGGAGCTAGCTGCTAGCTAAACGCCGCATCTCCAGTCAGAGGCGGTGTGTTCAATTATACGAGTCATTTTCTTTGACTTTAAAAACACCGATTTACGTAGGAAACTACATTAAATCACTCACGGTGCCAGTGAAGATTAGTTATAAGGTGTACAGCTAAGATGGCTAATTTAGCTTTGTAGCTAGTCACAATAAGGAAGGCTAACTTTAGCTGAGGCCGAGTGGATGCTAGCATGTTTTGTTCTAGACTGCGGTGTGATTTGTGAATTAGAGCATTATATGACTTGCAGCTGAAAACGTAAACGTCAAGCTAACAAAACGAGAGACAGGAATCTGAAACGGATATCATAAGTCCATGCTAAGCTAACCGGGTGTGAACGGTGTTGTGCCAACTAAAGGGTGGGGCTCTCTGTTAGCTGACAATGACTGGTCATCAGAGGCTTACATGGAACTGGGAATTCATGTCTGTCAGCGAACAGAAGATATTTAACTCACCCAGATGCACAGAAGACACTGTTGGACGGCCAGTTTAACTGTGAAAGCTGTGAAGTTGGGCAGCTAGCTGTCTGCATTGTTGTGCAAGGTGGTACTGAAGCTGAGAGTATCAGCTATCAGGAATTGATCGGCTTTTTAAAGAGCCTCTGACTTTATTTGTCAGGAAACAGCAGAGAAACAGGAGAACACTAGACCTCATGATGCTTAGCTTTTGTTGGACAAACTGAGTTGACACTTTAAGCTGTACTAGTTTTGGCTTAGACGTACCCTATTCTTAACTGAATGTAAAGATAATCAGAAATGTTTTGTTTACATGCAGCTGTGGCATCATGTCTGACAAAAGTGAGCTGAAAGCAGAGCTTGAAAGGAAGAAGCAACGCTTGGCCCAAATCAGAGAGGAGAAAAGAAGAAAGGAGGAGGAGCGCAAGAAGACGGTATGTTTAGGTTTTTGTAAATGTTTTGAATATTCTCTAAAACTGCAAAAAAAAAAAAATCACTATGGAAAATGAACACACTAGAAACCACTTCCTCAGCATCACAAAATAATGTGTTTTGATTTACATGCATTTCTCTTCCCAGATTGTTGTGAATGTTGGCGGTCCAGATGTTGCGAGAAATTAGTATTAGCCACTCAGTTTATCAAATGCAGTCTAGAGCCTAAGAGAAGTGCACAACTCCTCATGTTGTAAAGAAATACACACAAAAAAGTTTCAAGGCTTCTTTGCAGACATATGAGCCTCTTCTAAGAAAATTCCCATACTTCAAAAATGTAAAAAATAAAATAATCAGCTGTGTTTTTAAGAAGTCTTTCTTGCAGACACTAGTTCTGCAGCTGTCAAGGATTTCAGAATCGTACTGTTTATATATGTTTGTGTCTGCATGTAGTAGTTATAATTCTGCAGATCTCAGTTCAAGTGCAGTTACCTGGTGTTCAGACACTGGCAGGAGAAATGTCACGACTTGTTAATAACACATCTAATTGTGCAAAATATTTTGGAAATTGTAGAAACAGTCTTCAGCTTCAATGTGTGGTCAGGGACAAACATACTTTTAACAGATGATGGTCATGTATAAAAACTTGTCTTCTGTTCAGAGGCCTTACATCAAAAGAAGGTTTTGGGTGGCTTCTATCAATCAGTTTTCTAAATACTCAGGTTTTATGTATGATCTGCCTCTTTCTTGCTGCACTTTCAATCATCTTTGACACTTCCAAGGTTCTTGCACAAAGTTCTATTCATGCAATTTAGACAGATAATATTTTCTAATTTACTTTGTTAATTATTTGAGAATGTATTCAAGTCCCAAAGCTACAAACCACAAAACCTGCAACCAGAATAGTTTAAATTATGATCAGGTTATTGTCTGAGATCTTTGCAGTGTAACAGTGATATTTAGAGATTTAGATGAATGTGTGCTGTATTGTTGTGTTTGTAGGCAGACCAGCTGAAAGAGACTGTAATTCACCAAGATGATTCTGACCTGGAGAAAAAAAGACGTGAAGCTGAGGCTCTTCTGCAAAGTGTGGGCATCACCGCAGATGTATCTGTTGGTATGTTTTATTTGACATTTTGGACAACACAAATACTACCAACTGTTATATCTGCTTTTAAGTTCTATACTATTAGAAAAGAACTTATATGTCACCAGGGTTCCCAGAAATATCATTTTCAAATATTTTCTTTTATATCTATTTAGAGACGAAATGGTTTGAGCAGCTTGTTTGCCATTATATCTCACATACGTTTCAGTCGCTGTGTCAGTGAGGGTGTCCATTTTCATTCTAGATGAAGAGTGTATGAATTTTTACACAACAGGATAAAAAGTTAGAACAAACACATTTTCATGGCCAAACAGTGGAGTTTAGGTAATCTGATGAAGCTGAAGAAAAAAATCCAGAAAAGACTGAGTAATAATCAAGCTGTGGTAACCCTCCGCCAATCAGCCTTCAATCTATGTACATATGACATATTGCAACTCTTTTTATGTTGTTGTTTTTGTGTACCTGGCCTATTACTATGTCCTAAAACTGGATTACCCTGAGTGGAAAAAGATCAAATATTTTTATACTTTTCATCGCTTATGGATGGAAACAACCTCATATTAAAGCTGAGATTAACATTTTAATCCAGCATTTCTTAACAGTCATTTCAGATGTAATGATCAGAAGCACAGAGCCAAAGGAACCTAAATATGCTACTGTCTTTCTGTATGCTGTATGTTACACCATTTTTATAGGCTGCCACAAAGAGATTCGTCAAAACATTGCGCTTTAAGACAAAGCTAAATGATGAAGGTAACAAAAAAGAGCCAAAGAGTGTATTTCTCTTCATGAGTATATACATAATAAGGCTTTATGTAAATGACTAACTCACAACAAATATAAGTGCCACTTCAGATAATAATAGAGTTCTCACAAACATCTATGTGTCATCAGGAGGAAGCCCTGAATCATTTTTGTAAAACATTGCTGGTGTGCAGCGTGTGCTGTCTTTTAAAGCACTGTCATGTTGCTAACAGCAGGTGGCAGAAGAGATCCATACAAGAATCAGAGTGAGGGGTCGCAGAGAAACCTGAGGCAGAAATTAAAAAACATCATAGTTGTGTTTTTAAAGTTAGCTGCTCAGTTTATTTTTTTGTCTGTTGTGCTTATTCAGTTTCATTTAAACATAAATGAATGATTATATATTTATGTTATTAAAGCCTCTTTTTTTACAGTATGGTTTGAGCTCGCCACAGTTGAGGTTTGTTGTTTACATACTGATTTGTGGATTTTGCTCTCTTTGCTACTCATTTAATGGTTTACACACATTGCAACATGCACATTAACAGTATATCTGTCAGAGAAGTTTAATTCCAAGGTTCAGTAGCTTTCTACCAACATTTAAAACAACAAAGCACTGATGCATCTGCACTGTAGTACCATGAACAGCTTAGCATCTTTATATTCTAACAGATGATTATTGTCTGTCTCTCTGTGTAGTCCCTCCTCCCATGTCTCCAACTGCCAAATCGGCGGGCACGCCAAGTGAGGCAGGGAGCCAGGACTCTGATGGAGCCGTGGGACCCAGGTACACACACACACACACACACACACACACACTTCTCAGCAACTGTTTGTACAGTACTTTACAAGTGTGGAAACAATGCAAGTGTCCCTGTTTAGCAAGGATTAAAGACTTACTCTACCCAAGGCAAAATGTTCAAATGCTCAGTGCTTTGCTGATCTCTCTGCATCTACAGCATGTTATATTTGTGCTTTTTTTTCTTCTTTAACAATAATGCTTATGCAAGCAAGAACACGTTTGCAGTGTTTGTTCAGTTGCAGATGTGTTGCAGAAAAAAAAGTTAATTTTAAGAATGTAATTTATTTCTGCTTTGGATTGCTTTCTGCCTCTAGACAAAGATGATGAATACCTGTAAAGCATGATTGTATGAGGAGCCACTGAGCTAAAACTTTACATCATTACAGTGAATGATGACAAATTTATGCCAACTGAGTACATGTTTATTTCATTTGTGTACCGTTGAATTAGAACGATCCTAAATTAACAATAAAACAGCAGGCTGCTGTGACGCCTGGGGGACTTCTTAACCCCTAATTAGAGCCCCTTCCCTGGGCTGAAATTCAAGCTCCCCCAGTGTCCCATCAGGCCCAGTGAGCTGTTCCCCCTACGTGTTGACTCATTTCCCTCACCAGCATGGCCATTTCCTACACACATGGAGGTCATGTTTTCTCCCTGAGGGTTCTCGCTCTCTCTCCCCACTCTGCGTCTACACAACACTCAGAGCTTTGGTGTGAGACAGTTCAGGCTGTATCAGCCCCACAGGCTGCACATTACACCCTGTGTCATCCCACTCAGTGGATCTGTGTGTCCATGCATTTAAGCAGATACATTCTTCCATCTCTGGGTTTTGTGTAAGCAGATTCAAGCCTAATTTGACAAGAATAAAAGAGGTCCAGTTTGAAGTGCGCTTTGATAACATGGACATTTAATGGATTTGTGTTCTAGCATCCAATCAGCATGTTGTGTGCCATATTGCTAACTTTATTTCCTCTCCTCATTTGTGCTTGCCTGTCTCTCTCTCTCTCTCACTAATGCTGCCTTGTTGCTGTGACACTAATCAGGACTCTGCACTGGGACTCTGACCCGTCCACTCTTCAACTTCACTCTGATTCTGAGCTGGGGTACTGGACAATCTCTTCTCTCCTTTCCTGGTCATTTTCCCTTCTCTCAATCTATGGCATGATTACTTTGTCTTTCAGAGTCATTATTAAACACAGTCCAAGAAAACAGCGAAGTTGTGCATGCAAGTACAGTCAGACAGGCCTTTTAATTAATTCACATTGGTTGTTAAACTAATCTGAAGTCTTTGCCATCCCATTAGGGACTAATTTACATACTTTTGATCAGCACAAGATTCCACTTGCCAAGTGGTGGGAATGGTAACAGAATGAGCTGAGAATGGTTACAGTTTTAGGACTGTCTGTATGTTTTTGACTTGTTCAAATTGTAGCTGTTTAATAGTGATTATTGTGCAAAGTTTGAGTTGTTCTGTGCTTTTAGGCGTGGAACTCCAAAGCTGGGAATGGCCAAAGTCACACAAGTGGACTTCCCACCACGTGAAACTGTGTCCTACACAAAAGAGACCCAGACACCTGTCATGACCCAGTCGAAAGAAGGTGACTCACATCATGTTTTTAAGGTTGAGCTTGAAAAGCGCAGACAAAGGTTGTGTGTGCATGTGTGTAACTCTGTGCTTTAATGTAGGGGTGAAAAGGGAGCTTTGACTAAATGTTATTGTTCATTAAAACATGCAGTTTCTTTGCTCACAAAAGTTTTCTTTTCCTACATGAAGGGTACACCGCTTCTTGTGAATTATTCATAACAGGGGTATTGTGGGCTCTCTGAGAGCACAAGTGGGTACCGGAAGTGAACAACAAGGTGAAGAGGTTTGATTTTACTGAGATGAAAGTAAAGGGAAAATGGGGCCCAGGAAACATAAGAAGTCAGGGCAGAGATTAAATTCAGACAAGCTCTGCTCCTCTGAACCTCCCAAGCAACTCCGCTTTGGTGTAATTAATGAGCAGGATGAGAAAACCAGTGACAGGAAGGAGAAATGAGATTGGAGGGGAAGATATGAAGCCTTGTGCATACGACTGCCTACTGCCTCTGAAGCGTGTCGATATGTATGTAATTGCTGCACTGAAGCTTTCATGTGGTTAGACAAAGAGAATATTTGGGTTTATGCTAAAATCCACATGTTGAACACATGTTCTACAAAATATGCAATATTTGTGATCACGCTGCTTGTTCTTGGCTAATGTTTGTAATGACAGATGGTGAATATTGCACATGACTGAAATCTTGATTAAGATTTTTGTGTTTTGTTTCCACTCAAACCTACTGGATGAGTCTGTCTTTTTAGCTGTTCTCTCAATTTATTTGCACCAGCTAACACATGTTTGTGAGCATCCTTGAAAGCCTGGTTAGGATTTTTTAAACAGTGTACTGATTGGTAGTTGTTGTCCGATCAGGTGATGTGTAGAAAATCCTGAGGTGGCATGCAGCGCGAGTAAGACAAAATTGTGTGATTTTGTGGAAAACTATGAGCAGAACTAGTGAAGGATGAAGAGCATCCCTGCGTTCCTCATCGCTCTTTACTCTGGACTCTACTGGGCATTGTAAAACTGTGTTAAACAACGATGGTTTCTGCCAGCTGTTCAACGCGGGGCCCCCTTCCCCTCTCTGCCACTATGTAATCATTTCATCAACTCCCTCGCTTCCCTGTCTTCTCCCTTCACCGAACAGGCACATAACAAAACACACTCAGTGACATTGTGCATTTTCACACCATCACTTCTGGCACTCGATGAGACGGCATCCCCTTCCCAGCTTGCTCCCCTCGGCGCATTTTTGATGTGTGGGGTGGCGTCAGGCCTGGTTTCTGATTGAGCGATTTATCATGTTGTCAAAAGGAGGCAACGGCGCAGCACTCTCAAGGTCAGCAGGCGGTGGCATTAGAGGGAGCGACTGCCATGCCCTGGCTGCTGCAAACTGAGGGTTCCCACAGTGTCGCAAGACATCTCGGAGAAAGGAGTAAAAGATTTAGGATTTTACCATCAACCGCCCTATTGACGCAGAGAAAATCCTCTGAACGGTGAAGGAGAATGCATCTTCATTTGTATATTGTTTATTGGTGAAGGTGTCATTCTCCCACCAAGATGAACTGGACACTCTTTGTTATCTCACCTGTGCCATCTCAGAAACCTGTGAATTAATCCATTTGTAAGAATTTATCAACATACAGTACCGTGCAGATGTTTAAGACACTTTAGGTGTTGAGGTTGTCCATCAGGGAGACCTCCGATTGGTCCCACATTCGTTCAACAACAGCCCCAAACATACAGCCGGAGTCACAAAGAACGACTGTATCCTCACCCATGAGAAGAACATTGCGTTCTGTGACAGATTCTGTGGCTCCCACGGAGCCCCGATCTCAACATCATGGAGGATTACATAAAGACACACACTAAATCCACCAAACAGTGACACGTTTTCCAAGATGATTGGAACTAACTCCCCGGCAACTAGCTTCAGAAATGTGCGCGGAAAATCGGGGCTGTTTTAATGCAAATGGTGCAAATATTGATTTCGCTCTTTCTCCTTATCGCACATATTCAAAGTTAATTGATGACATAACAAAAACTCTTGGTGACATTATTTTCGAAAAGCGTTATCACCTTCCTTTCAGCTCCTGAAACTTATTACCGTAGATCCATTTTTTTTCATCTGTAGGTAGTTTCAGAAAATGTGTCAATTTAAGCCATTAAACTGGTAAATGTGCCACCGCTACAGTATTTCCCAGACTGCACTAGTAGGTAATGTGCAGCATCAGTATGCGCTCCTCAACAAGAGGCTGTAATTATAGAGTAAGATATTGTTGAAGGTTGGGGTGGGGAGGGGGTGGTGGGGCGGCTGTGCGCGGCTGGACTGGTTGGTGTAGTACTGCATTTCAGATGGGCTCGTCAGGCGTACGAGTACGTCGAGCAGTTCAGTAAATCTAATATTTAATTGAATGTGATTGTTTTAATCACTCTGAATTCAGAGGCAGGTCAAAACTTTTAATCACAAAAGCCCTTAATGGCCTTCTTGTTTTAAGTGCCACTTGTAATCGTGGTCAGCTTTTATGCACTTGATGATTAGTGCAGTTAAATATCTGTTGTATCCTTCTGTCATACAGTAGCTAATCATTTCGAACAGAAAATTTGCTATATTCTTTCTTTTTTTTTTCCCCCTCAGGGTGTGAGTCAGTATCTGTACCTTTCATGACCTGCTTTTTGTTCTTAATCTCATGTAACAAGATTTTTGAGGCAAATGCTGAGGTTTCCATTTGCATTATAGCCTCGGTAAATTAGCTTCACTGCTACGTGCAATTTTTTTTGGAAATGCATTTTGAGAAGTACTTTGTTCAGGAAACGAGAAATGATACTGCACGTGTATGTTTTTATCGGTGGAGTTCTGCCTTCTACGCTTTCATTATTGGCCTGTGTTTGGCTGAGAAAACTCATTTGCACGTGCTGCAGTCAGACCGTTGTTCTGTCTGGACATATAGAAAGTGGAAGACACCTGCAACAGAGAGCAGAGGTCATTTAGTTTTATAGTTCATCACTGGCCACATGCCATGTTTGCATTAATATATTGTCCATTGACTAAGACTTGTGATTACTCCCCCACCTCCCCTCCCCCCCTCCTATCCGTCTCCCCCCCCCTCAAAAAAGCTTTTATTTCCTAAGTGGTACAAAAGCCATAATTGGGCCTGCTTTGAGAGGAGGTGTCAGTGTATGGGACATCGGTGATCCGGGTGAATTCTGTTAAATGCAACCCACCCACCCTTGCTACTACCCCCCCACACATCCCCAGCGGGGTCACCAGGATCACTAGCTTTTCTCCAAATGGCCATTTTGGCTGGCAGGTGCATTATACCCTTTATTTTCAGATTGTCTATCCGCTCCTAATGCCTGGCAGGTTGATTGCTCTGGCTGCCTCACCAGGGAAAGGGCTGACGAGCACAGCCGGGACTTGCTGAAAGACAGTGATTACTGTTTTCCTTTAAGCCTGATTGAGGCCCTTGAAAGGAAAGATTTTAACCTTCTCCTGTTGGTTGCAGAGTATGGCCGCACATTGAAATGGCTTGTGTCATCAACCCAGTTCTGTAAACTCATCAGTGCACCCAATAACCTTCATCCCCAAACCTCCGTTTGAGAAAGGGGATAAATCACTTTATGGACAAAGTGACAGATGACATTATCATTTAGATTATCTCAGTAGGAAGGAAATTCTGGCATGTGGTGCTGTCATTTTAGATTAACTGTAAAGCTCATACCAAGATAAACACCTGTAGGAACCAGGCGAGTATTTTCCTTTTCCTTCTGAATCTGTTTTGTCCTGCTCTTGCACTTATTTTTTTTTTTTTTTACATTGAAAGCATAGGCTACATACCGTCTCTAAGAGATGTGTTTTGAAAAAGCGTGTTCATCTTCTTTGAGGTAGAACCGGTGTGCAGTTTGCCAGCTGGTGTGGCCTGTATTTTGTTGTACATTCTCTGAGGTTGAATAGGAGTTGCAGGACCTCCTGCTAGGATGGTAATTGCACAGGCTTGTCGTTCAGGGAGAAGCTTGTCTCGGGGCAGCCAGGCGGAAAACCTCTGTGCCATCCCCATGCCACCTCTGAAGAGCACAAGACAATCCCAGCATCACCATCTGCTTTTGCACCATGCCGTCATCTGGCCGGTCCAATGGGACGGGACGGGGCAGCTGCTCCACACCCTCTGCCCTGCTGCCCCGTGGCCTAGAAGGGGGCAACCTGCTACTGGGACACAGAGGAAACAGCTACACTGACAGCTAGACTCTATTGAATGGAATGAGTCTCATTAACAGTTGGGAAAGACAGGGGTCCCTATGACAACAAGACACCCGCTGCGCTGTGTCCCTTTAATACAAATGACAAACTTCCCTGCTTTAGAGGAGCAGGTTCTTTTTGAAAAGCGACATTGTGCTGGCAAACCAAACAAATGCAAGGCAGAGATACAAAATCAGCCCATTGCTGTGCCCATAATCACTGGGTGGAGCTTTTTTTTAAAAGAAGAAAATAATGAAGGTGGAAAATGTAGTGACTGAAAGGTATGAAACTGTATGGAAGCGTAATCATGTACATTGTGAAGGTTGTTGCTTTGAATTTGATTTTTATTCCCTGTTTACATTAGGAATTCCAACCACAGCGTAAACAAAATCATTTTGCTTGCAGGAATGTAGTTTTTACGGTGTGGCTCAGTGTGTTTTCTGATGTTTAATAGACTTCACTTTTTGATCCACAGAGGAAGAAGAAGAGGAAGAAATTGCTCCATCTCAACCGGTAGTTGAGATTCAAACTGAGAAACTGGACCAGAAGGAGGAGGAAGAAGGTATTTCATTACCAGTGACGATAACTGAGATATTCTACTGTAATTGAGCCACTTGCGTTCTTCTGTGAATGTTAAAATGACATGTATAATTGTTAGTTTTCTGTAAAAAGTACTTAGAAACCTCTCTCTCTCACCTTTCTATTCTTCTAAAGGAGGGCATCAGATTCCATATCATAATGGCCACGAGCAGCAGGGAACCTCAGCCAATTCAGTGTGTTTGTGTTTCTCTGTACAGTACCCCCCCACGAGCTGACAGAGGAGGAAAAACTGCAGATCCTGCACTCGGAGGAGTTTGTAAATTTCTTCGACCACAGCACTCGCATTATTGAGCGTGCTCTGTCTGAGCATGTGGACCTCTTCTTTGACTACAGTGGCCGTGACCTGGAGGAGAAGGAGGGGTAATAATTGGACAGCTAGTGTTTTTAAAACTTGTAATTGGTTTCTGAAGAAGTGCTTTTTATTGATTTGTGCTGCTTTGTTTTTCCTCAGTGAAATTCAGGCCGGAGCAAAGCTCTCGCTTAACAGGCAGTTCATGGACGAGCGCTGGTCCAAACATCGTGTTGTCACCTGCCTGGACTGGTCTCCCCAGGTCATTTTTTTGTATTTTTTAAACAACTCCTTCTTAATGAAACCAACATTTTTAAGCACTATTAAGAAATTGACGGTCAATTCTGTTTCTCCTTGTGTTTTGTGCTAAAATAGAAGCAATATGAGCATAATTGTTTCTAATTGACTGTTGAAACAACTTAGATTTGCACAGCCTTAATGCTTTATGATTACATCGCTTGAGTTTGACAGCATTTACTTTCAGCCGCAACTCCCTCAGGAAAAGTAAGTTATGTCCCATACAAATTGTCACTTAGTCAGAGGCCGTAATGATTTGTTTCCTCTTGTGTCTAAGGTCATTTAATGCATGATTCTGCAATGACTTGTGACAGTGATTGAACACCAACTCTTTGTTCACTGTATTTTCTTGCTCAAAGCGATATTCGCACCCGTGTGATTTGAAATTATGTATTTACATAGTGTAAATCTCCGATTCTAGTATTAAACGCAGTGGAGGTTAATGGTTTGTTTACATCTGGCTAGTGTTTCTGTAGTCTGTGTTTTTAATATGCACTTAAGTGGGTTTACATTTTAAAAAATCCTCGCTGAGCTGCTGAGTCTACTACTGTGTTCTCCTGAGCCCCTGCAGAACTGGTTAGAATTATGAAAAGGAATTAAAACACCATTTAACAAAGTTAAAGTGGGAGCAGGTCGACAGAAATGTGCCATAAATCTTTGAGGAAATGGTTACTCATTCTTGAAGGCATTCACAACACCACGGAGGGCAGGCGAGGCTTTTCCACATGGAGCCTAGCCTGGGGGGCATGTCTGCCTCCCCCTGACATTCATTCAGCCTGATTTTTTTTTTTCTTTCTGTCACCAGTATCCTGAGCTCCTGGTTGCCTCATACAACAACAACGAGGACGCTCCTCATGAGCCAGACGGCGTGGCTTTAGTGTGGAACATGAAGTACAAGAAAGCTACACCGGAGTACGTCTTCCACTGTCAGGTACCAAAAACAACGTTTCTTTGCTCTTTAGCTCCCCCCCTCTCTCTTTCTGCCCCGCTGTCCTCACCAGTGGCTTCTTTCACGACAAGCTTGGAACATCATCAACCATCCCGTTCGCTCACCCTCTTGCCTCCTCCTCTGCTCGCAAACCCCCCCCCTTCACCCCTCCTGCCTTTACCCACATCGTGAGTTCACCGTGCTGGCATCCACCTCCACCACATCTATCCACAAACACATGTTAGTGAGGCGCCGGAGAAGACCTGTGGTGCAGGAGTTGAATGGAATCCGAGCGCTGCAGCAGGATTAAGTGTGTGGGGCAGGGCTGGTTATCATGTGCATCTAAACAAGGGCCCTGTGTTCAGACAAGCTAGCTGGGAGACCAGTTGAGCTCCTCCACTCTGCCCAGCCTTATTATAATGCTTGCCCTGAGGCTCCTTCACCAAGACAAGTTGAGTAGAACCACATGTTGTTGCCTCCAGAGCGGATGTAGACGCAGGCGTGTTGCTCAGATGAATAAAACTGAGCAGAAGTGTGAATGCAGTTTTCCTTGTGCCTCCAAGTTGGCTCCAAAGGAGATTTTCCTCATCTATGTGCCACAATCTTGTTAATAAACTCCCGTAGAAAAAATATTTATTGTGATAAATGAAGTGAGTGTGTTTAGGCCACCTACGTCATAATCCAAGAATATATACTAATCCAGTTGGCCCGCCTCGAGGGTTATTTGCTTACACTGTAAGAACCTAGGCTCAAGTTATGACAGATGTTTGCTTGTGTTTTTGGAAAAGAAGCAACATGTAAAGACAGATATTTAACTTTGAGATGAAGCAGAGGAAGAAAACTGCAGATTGAAGTTGATGTTTTCCATGTTATTGGAAGATTTTAAGTGCTGCTGATATTCAGTTTTGGCATACATAGATTTGACCTGTGGTTAGTTACCTCAGTGGAAAAATAGACCCAAGTTATGTTCACATAGATTTATATTTCCAATCATTTCTTTCATTGTTTCATCGTTTTCAGCAAAACATAATGTAAAATGCCTGTATTGTTAAAAAAATGTTTACAGTGGTGTGCGTAAGGGTAATCAAAGTTCATGTTCTATACATAAAAATGAACCTTAGTAAAGAAAATACATTAAAAACAATCTAAATACTTACAAATATTGAACTGTGCTTGTACAGATTGTGTTGAGTTGGGAGTGAGTATTGAAGATGAATGTGCATGATAGGTGGTTAATTTAACAAAGATGGACTTTGACTGTGGATCAGACTAATTAGCTGGATTTCAGGGAAATGTCTGTTTGGTTTTTAGAAAGGTAAATTAAGTAAACTGACACTTCCTTTCTAACTACGAATATAACTGATGGAACAACCACATCAACCTGCTCAGTTCCCCTTCGCAGAAAATATTAGATTTTTGGAAGTAACAGGAAATTTTACTGGAGAATTCAGTGACAGCAAAATCTTCCAGTGACATAAAATCTTACTGAGCTGATAAGCTGTTGCTCTGTACTGCGCCTGACAACATCCTCACCGCTGTGTATTATCCTTCTCATCACTCGCTCTGCCAACACTGTTACCAAAACCGCAAATTAGGAGCCTTGTCTTCTTCCTTTGTTTTGGTCATTTTGGTGTCACTGTTTGTTTCCATGGAAACACTGGTCAGCCACTGTCACCGGCTGTTACCATGGAAGCGCAGATCAGCAGGTGTTACCGTGCGTTACCATGGAAACACTGGTCAGCCAGTGTTGCTGATTATCACCGTGGAAACGCTGCTCAGCTGGTGTCACTCTGTTTGGGGTGGAGCAGTTAAATCATTTAGACTGAGATTAAGTTAGTGTTCAGTTTTGTGGGATTGTCTAACTTGTGTCATACCTACACACCAGTTTGTAATGTCTTCATGAAGCTGAGCATCATGGTGCATTGTGACTGTCTCACTGCCTGTTTCACTTTTTTTAACCTTCTTCCTCTTATACTTTCTCCTTCGCTCTGACAGTCTGCTGTCATGTCTGCTGCATTTGCCAAGTTCCACCCCAACGTTGTGGTGGGGGGCACATACTCAGGGCAGATTGTACTGTGGGACAACAGGAGCAACAAGAGGACCCCTGTGCAGAGGACTCCCCTGTCAGCAGCAGCGCACACGGTAGAGAAAACACCTGACACAGCGGGCCGGGATTTCATTTATATTCATCAGAAGAGTAAACTTTCACCTTCATTGTCTTTGCAGCACCCGGTATACTGTGTGAATGTGGTCGGGACCCAGAACGCCCACAACCTGATTAGCATCTCCACTGATGGAAAGATGTGCTCCTGGAGTCTGGACATGCTCTCCCAGCCACAGGTAGCACATATACATATAAATCCAGCTCTATATGTGTGAATGTGTGTGTCCTCAGAGCAATATTTCTGAATTACCTAAACAACCTTGGATTAAAGTGTTAACCATAAATTTAAATTGCTATGTTAATGATACATCACATTTTAAAGAGGAGAGGTTATTTTTTATGGTTGGTCTTCCTGTCTCTTCACTTTCACGTTGCACACGTTTCCTGTCCCTCGCATTCATGCTAAATGTCAGACGTTTTGGCTGGACTCCTTCCTTTTCGCATTCCAGTTTGGTATTTCCTCCGACTTTACCCTTATTTTTTCTACAGCTCATTTTTCACTTTGAAGGAAATTATTTTTGCTAGCTGTGTCATTTCATCCGTGCTGCCAAGACCTCAATGTCAAACTTTCGTTTTTTATAAAGTGCTAGTTGAATTTAGATTATGCATTAATAAACTGTCGAGTGATTTTTATAGGTTGTGCTTGGCAGCGTGTGTGTTAACATAAAGCCTGAGCAGGGAGCTTGTTATGGATGTTGTTCCATGTTCCCTCCCCTCCACAGGACAGCATGGAGCTGGTGTTCAAGCAGTCCAAAGCTGTAGCTGTCACCTCCATGTCTTTCCCTCTCGGAGATGTCAACAATTTCGTGGTGGGCAGCGAGGACGGCTCTGTCTACATGTCGTGTCGTCATGGAAGGTGCGTCTGTATGCAACCACAGTCCCCAGCGTCCCTCCCGAACACCAACAGGAAACTGAGGCGACTTGTTAGGCCCACCTAGGACCGAGTGTCAAATAAATATAGCCCACTCACTTCCCAGTGCAGCACAAATCCAACACTTGATCTCCTGCTGTTTGAGGTTTCACTCCTGCCCAGTCATCCTGTTTTTCTTTTCCGCTTGTCAGTTGTGTTTGTAAAGGTCGTTCAACATAAACAGGGCACACATGCAGGGGAAACAAATCATTTTTTCCCTGTTCTCTTTTTTTCTTTTCAGTATGTTTCTTTGGGTGAGAGAGTTTGTTTACAGTCAGTCGTCCCAGGGAGAATTAAAAGTGCAGTTCATCCCACAATGTTCTCATTTAAGAGACTGGGGCTCCTCTCATGGTGGATGGTCCTCAGCAGAGAAATGTGGCTTAAATCAGAGCTGCCAGTGAATAGCGTGTCAGCCCCACACTAAATGTCCTGCAGTATGCCCAGAGACCGCAGAGAGGGGATAGCTGCTAGGTTTTGCACAGCAGAATCACCTCTGTAATTGGGGGAATAATTTTCCACCTCATTTACAATGGTATGATACTCTCATCGCAGTTAATAATGCATAAGCATCACTCATGCTGAGTATTTACCTCTCTACGTTAATTATCTGAGCCTCAGTTGGGTAACAGCTCTGCAACATGTGGTTGAAGGGATGCAGGCACTTTTGCCACCCTGCTGGTAATTACATGATATAAGTAAATGATTACTGTGAATACGTCCAGCAGAGGTCCATCTGCGCCTGTTGCTTTCTTTCATGCTTAATGTAACACCTAAATGGTTAGAAACACAGTGTTAACTGTTAACCCTTTGAAATTTTGTTGTTAGTTTGTCTTGTTTCTGCAGTGCAGAGAAATGCATATTCAAACATTTCAACTGAAGGTCACTGCTGCACATCTGCTGCTTTTAAATAATACATATGCCATGCTGTTGTGTTTAATCTATCAGTTTGTCTGCTCTGACTCCCTTCTTCGTCTGTGCTCTGCAGCAAAGCGGGCATTAGTGAGATGTTTGAGGGCCACCACGGCCCCATCACAGGGATCCACTGCCACACAGCTGCAGGGCCGCTGGACTTCTCCAATCTGTTTGTTACCTCTTCTTTCGACTGGACTGTCAAGCTGTGGACCACCAAGGTATGACTGAGATCTGAAAAGTCAGAGCAAACCTCTGAGTTCATTTATTTGATTGAAAAAAAGACAGCTGTGTGTAGGAAAAAGTCTCTGCCTGCTGCGTGTTTTGTTTGTCTACAAGGTCCCATATAATCCAGTTATTGTTCATTTTCAACTGTAATATAGCTCAGGGGAATAATGATTCTTTTTTATGATGAATTTAAAGCCACATACTTGTTTTAAAGAGGTATTGATTGGATTTGAAGGCAGATGTCCAGACACCCACAGCAGCAACAATAGTAGATCCTGTTTAGCCAAAAGAATTAATTTGCTCCCTCTAATTTAACGAGCATAAGAGTCTTCAGCGACAACAAGCTCACTTAGGCTGAAAGCTCCTTTAAAAAGAGAGACAGAGAGATAAAAGTTGAGATTTGTTTTGTGAAATGGAGCCAGAGTGTGCAACACTTTATTTCCTACTCGAACGTTAAAAACCAAACAGAGAGGTGTTATGTTTAATATAATTAGATCTCTGTTTAGCTCATGTTGGTAGTGGTCAATGTGCACCTTTGATTTTGGAATGAAATAGGAGTTCAAGGAAAATTAAATACTCCAGAACACTCTTAAATCTGATATTTAAATTAGACAAGAAAGAAATGATGAGAAAGTTAACGATAACAATTGTTACTGCAGCTTAAAACCACTCTACCTGCTGGTAATTGATTATCAGCTGATAGAGGTTTGAGGTCTTATCTGCTTGCTGCACTCCATCACCTTTATTTAGCAGTGACTAAACACAACAGCTGATTAGTTTTTAGGGATTCAGTTACAAAGTGAATTTGACAAATTGAAAATTTTTGACTTGCTGATGGGATGGAAGAGAAGATTACAAGTCATCCATTTTGGCCTTTTTAACAGAATGATGTTGGTAAACAGGAAGATATCAATCAAACTTTTTTAAAATAGAAACCTTGTGACTTAATTTTAAATATTTCGCACTTCTTACCGGTGATTTAATGGCAACTAAACATGTCAGTTTCATGTCTGAACACCATGCTCACTTTTCTCACTAGTCAGTAGACTTACTAACATGGCACAACTGCAGCATTATTTATTCATGTGTGTAGCACATGATAATATCGTTATATTATAGATACACACAATTAAGGAGCCGATTTATTAAGAACATACAGCTACGGCTAATTCCGTCCTAATTTAACAGCCCTGTAATAAATCCTACTTTCATGAAGGTTGCAAGGTTCAGTTTTTATTGGGAGGTTCAGAGAAGTGCTGATTAAACTTTGTGGTCATCTTGGAGGCAGCAGTTTGTGGTGCTATAGGATTGTGTTGCCTTATGCTGACAGGCGTTTTCTATTAATTCGTCGAGCCCATTTCTATAAGTGATGGTTGGCAGGATAACAGAAACACCTCTCTGTATAATCCAATCTAGTTCAACAGCACTGAGAACGTCACTGATGGACACCCATATAGCAGAAACTGACCACGTTATTAAATGGGGTGTATAAAATAGTGTTTTTCTTCTCCCCTCTACAGAACAATAAGCCGCTGTACTCATTTGAAGATAACTCGGATTACGTGTATGATGTCATGTGGTCTCCGACTCACCCTGCTCTGTTTGCCTGTGTGGACGGAGTTGGTCACCTCGACCTGTGGAACCTCAACAACGACACTGAGGTAATACATTCCTACTAACTGTGCACACAGATGTCAGATCTTAAATGGAGACTTTTTAATAGAAGAGACACTCTTCTGTAGACATTACTGACTATAAAGTTCCATGTTGGATACAGTATGTGTTGCAGAGCATGTTTCCACTCACTGATTGTTATTCTATGTTATTTTAGGTTCCCACTGCCAGCGTCACTGTACAGGGTAACCCAGCCCTCAACAGGGTCCGATGGGCTCATTCTGGCAGAGAAATCGCTGTGGGAGACTCCGATGGACAAGTTCTTGTGTACGACGTTGGAGAAGTGAGTAAACTTAACTCAGCTTTTTACATTCCAATTTCTGATTGTATTTTTTAAAAATAATAATCACAAATCAGCCTCATCTGCTATAACATGTACTTTACTGATGAGCAAATAATTGCACAGCATGGCCAGCTCACCTTAATGAGATCTTGTTTTTCTTTTCAAGAGCGTCTCAAGAAATTAACTAACAACATCCGGTGGTGGTTTGAGTCTGTTGTTTGCCTGTGATGCTGCAGCCGAAGCCTGCGTTTTGTAATTCGAGTCTGTTGTTGCCTCTCCCTCACAGCAAATTGCGGTTCCACGAAACGACGAGTGGACCCGATTCGTCCGCACACTGGCAGAGATTAACGAGAACAGGGATGATGCAGAGGAGCTGGCAGCTCAGCGTCTGGCTGCATGAGCTAATCGCCACGGACGCACCGATTAAGGGACCAGTTGTGTGCTTGTTAATATCAGCCATGTTTTGATAGAAGGAAAAGATGTGATGACAACACGAGCGGAGGAAAAGACGGAAGTGTTTATCAGACAGAAGTACGGACATCTTTTGATTTCCAACACTCTTCTTGTTTAGACAACTGCCTTCTCAGTTAGCTGGATCGTCACCAGTCTTCCTCGGGATAACACAAGCGACAGGGCTATCAACCTCAGACACTAACATTTAAGCCATATTCACAAAACAGTCATCCTTTCTTCTACCAGATGCCTTAAAGTTTAGTTTTAATCTTGATTGTAAAACCCTTACCTGTCTTTATTTACAGCATGATTAAAAAGAGCCTTAATTTTGAGTTACGTCACACCAGTGCTCCACTCCACGTATTGATGAAGATCAGTCAGAGCTGTTCTCTATTGCCACCAAAGTTGAAGTAAAGCAATCGCATCTTTAAATACCCAGGAATGTAATTATCACATAGCTGTAGCCCATGTTGACATCTCTGTTGCTTTAGATCTGATCACATTAACATTCACGTTTGTAAAATAGTGAAATGGTCTTTCTACTTCGATATCGTTTTATACTGCACTTGTTTCCCGTTAATCAGTGCAGCATGAGTTAGTACTAAGATTGGTGGAATATCCCCAAATGTCTAAGAGGATGATCATGTATGCTGTAACTGCTCCTGTATGTTGATGGGATCTCAATGGTTTGTTTCCTCAAAGCTTGGTGTCAAAACTGAGAATGTACTTTTCACAGTAGAAACAGTTTGAATGATTTATTTCAATAAAATACAATAAATACATTTAAATTATTTCCCAAGTCCCTGGTCATGATTTCAAAATAAATACTTTGAAAATATCTGTACATCCTCGTGTCTCTTAAACATAACTGACACATGCACACCAAAGCTATTGCACGCCAGAAAAACGCAGTAACAATCTTTTTCAGTGCCATAATGTCCCTCTGTTGAGAGGTACAATATGTACAATAAAATTGTGCAAGCAACGCAAAGAAAATGCAACAAAGCCATACTCATGCAGCATTTTAAGTAAGACAGCCGCTCAAATGCATCGAATTGAAACGTGGATCGGTAAAACCATTTTGAAGGAAACGTGAGGACTGGAGAAGCATGCAGCCCTCAGTGACGGTTTATGAGGCTTGAGGCTCCGTTTCGGACGCCGCTGGTTTGATTGTCGGCTCTGCAGAAGGCTTGAACTTTGGCAGGTGCAGACCAAACTTTCTCTCCACGCCAGCAAAGGTTGCAGCAGCCAGATGGTAGCCACCCACGTGGTCTGCAGTCACGGAAGGCAAGTCCTCGATCGCGGGTTTGGGAGTGGGCTCAGATCCGGCAGGACGACTGAGGAGAGAGTCAAGTTAGGGTGAGATACACCTCATGATATTAATGAGGGATTCATTCTTGTTAAAGTACTTACTGTCCTCCAAAGTCTACGTAGAACCATCTCTGTAGCAGCTCATAGGTCACCAGGGTTACACCAAACTGTGGTGACGATCTGCAGACACGAGCTGATGGAAGAAAGTTTAAGCTGTTGGCTTTGATATTTCCGTGATGGAGTTGTAGATATTTACAGCCACAGTTTCATTTCCTGTCATGAAAGCACTTCTAGGACAATGACTGTTTGTGTGCAATACCTCCTGCTCCCTTCCAAAATGCCCTGAAACCTTCCTCCTTCAGGATCTTCCTGAAGCAGTCGATGACTCCATTGTACGTCGTCTGGCCTGCTCGGGCCGCCACCTGGAGCCTGGTCTTGATGACATCAGCAGGGGTCACCAGCGAAGCCGCCGGTATACCTTGTTTTTCACAAAAACACATAATGAAGTGCTTTCACTATGCACAGATGGTGTCACATTCTGATATCCCCACCGCAGCATCACGCAGGGCTTGAAATGGCTATACCTTCACGATGCGATAGGACAAAAACGCTGCATATACAGTCAGACTACTGAGAGACTGAATGGATGGAGAAAGCACAAACAGGGAGGAAACCAAAATGCATTTTTTTTTGGAGAACAAAATGTGACACGTCCTTTTATAAAACACACAACATGGTGCTGTTTGGATGTCCAGACACACTCAGCTTTCCAGATGTTTGTTACCTGCAATAGCTCCAGCAGTGAGCAGCTGCAATGCCCCCAGCCGTCCTTCCTCATCTGCCAGCTTCTCCTTCGTGTGGGCATAAACAGGGAAGTAGATGGCCGAGAAGGGGATGTCACGCAGGAAGCAAGCTTTGGCTCCCTGAAAGAAAAACAAAGATCATGTCAGAAATACATGCATCCCTACAGGACTGATAAATGAGCAGAGGCAGTGTTTGAGCAGGTTTGTGTTGGGGATTAAGTGGCCGAGGAGCTGATTTATTCAACCTACAGGGGGCTTTAGTGCTGATGATGGAGCCAAAGAGCCCCGGGCAGAGCTGCAGCACTGGGCCTCCAGAGAGAAATCCATCACACACACACACACACACACCATGGACCTCCGTGTGCTGGCTTCTTCTACAGAGAGGAAGTCAGCCTTTTTTTTTCTTTTTCTTTTTTTCTTTTTTTTTTAACAAGCCACACACTGTCTGCCACTCATTAAAATATGGAGTATGAACACATGACTCGAGCTGTAAGTGAAGCCACAAGGATCTGGAAAGGAGCAGTAGCAACGCGTAATCCCTCGCTAATTTGCTGTTGGTCGTTGGCCGCAGTTCCGTTTGCATGTTTAACACTGTTTTGGAAAATTGCAAACAGTCAGCAAAGCAATGTTTGATCTTCAAATTTGTGTCTCTGATCTCCATTATGTCTATGTACACATACAACTGTTGGTTCGAATACAGTAGTGTTTCGTCTGTGCATCATTACAGGAATCAAATAAATGCACGTGTTAATAAAACAGAAGCAGAAAGTAAAGCGCATTTGCATATATACTTAACTGAAGTACATTAATCCATTAAATGTATTCAACAGATAGAGTTCATACAAAAATCTAAATAATGAAGCTACAACCAGCTCCACCTTTACCAGTTACAACATTTAAAAAGTCCTTTCATGCTTCTGATGACCTAATAATAAATTCTTTCAATGATTTATACCAGTATTTTCTTGTTGCATGTTATTTGCAACTACACTGAGTGCTGTAAAATTGTTGTATTGCTGCCAACGCTGCTCAGTTAATTAACTGCAAACTATTTAAAATAATCCAGTAATTGTTCAAGCAAGAAATGTCTAAATTTTCTAGTTCCATGTTTTTAATTGCAAGACTTTGTTGCTGTTTTTTTTAATGATATACTTATTTGATTTTCTTTGAGCTTTGGGCTGTTGCTCTAGCAAAACAAGACATTCTAATACATCAACTTTGGGCTCTTTTTTTTTGCAATTTACTTATTAATCGATTAATCAAGAAAACAACTAGCAAATTATTAGATGATGAGAATAACTGTTAGTTTTAGCACGACTTCTTAAAAGACACAGAAACTTACAAGTGCAAACCCTAAAGTGAACAATAAATGTTGTTGGTTTTGTATCCGAGGAACATCGAGCGCCTTTCACTGCCCTTGTATGACAGCGAGCAGAGGTTGATGCTGCAGACGTCATGGTGCTGCAGAGGTGCTGACCTACCTTGTAGAGGCCAAAGAAGCCCAGGTCTCTGACAACACTCAGGGCACTGACCCTGGGGCCTGTAGTGATCTCTCCAGCCACCTGCAGACGGATCTTAACGATCTCCAGAGGATTGGTGAAAATCACCTGGGAAGCTCCAGCCTGCAGGATGCAACGAGGGGGAAAGAAAAAACAAGCAGCTGATGAGCAGTTTGTATGCAGAGATGGAGGTTTCTAAGTGGATTTTCTGTGGTAAGTGAGGTTACACATCTGAGGGGTGAACTCTGGGTGCAAATGGTAATGATGTGTAAGCATTTCTTCCTCGCAGGAATTTTTAAATTATCTCAGCGAACTTCAGCACAAAAGATACTATTTTTTCCCTCGTTCTGGCCTGATATTGTCAGAGAGTGGCCTTGACGGGAGGAGGAAAAGGCAGGCATTGATGGAAGAACAACTGGGGTCACGCTGGAGCAGGAGAAGTCCCGGCTCATGGTTGGGAGGCTCTGACCCTGGCACCGGCCCTCTGCCCCCTCGCCTCCCCTGAGGCACCTCCTGTGGCAGGGTGAGCGGCCCAGCCTGGCCTCACCCTGCACACTTCCCCAATTCACCCCCCATTCCCAGGGGAGCGCGCTGAATCACCCGGACGGCTCGGGGTCCAGGAGAGCGATGCCCTAAAGGCACAGCACCCTCTGACTCAGGCACATTTATCACCCTCCCTGAATCTAATCAGGCCCCAGGATGGCTGCTGATGACATTCAGGGCAGGGGTCTTATCTGTAAACATCCGAGCAAAGGTCTAAAAAAAGCTCTGGCACATTTAGTCATTTTCAGAGTGGAGGGGGAATATCCGCCGCTCTGAAGATTGATGCACTCGTCCCTTCTCTTTTATCTTCTTCAGTTCTCTCTTCTGGTGGAAGCGATAATTTAACAAGTTATCAGATTAACAGGACTTTAAGGGCTCGTGAAGCAACATGAGGATGTGGGACACTTCAGAATGAATTAGGGAAGCCCATGGATGGAAAATATTCTTAGCTGTGCGTAGTGGAAACATCCTTGTTGTCCTGAGCGGGGACCTGTACGCCTCAGGTATATACGGCGTTGTCAAACTCAATCACACTGAGCTGGGCCCAGCTTCATCCAGGACCCTCCAGGGCCTCTTCCTCCAATTACACCCTGACAGGGGTCACGACCCCGCAGACCCCGATCCTCTGAGTCCAACCTGCGGCCTCGGCTCCACGGCCCGTCTGTTTCATTTCAGCGCAGCCGGTGGAGAGGCCGAGTGTCGGAATTACATCTTTAATCCAGTGTTGCACTCACTAAATGTTAGTGCAAATTAGCCGGGATTAAAAAAAGAAAAAAAAACAACTAAAACTAACTTTTGTCTTTCTTGTAGCCACTCATGGGCTGACATGAGAATCTCTCACATGTGTCATTATCACTGATGGAAATAAACTGATACATGAAGTCAGATAGAATAATGAAATAAAAGTAATGTTCTTAACAACTTATTAAAATAGTCGCATAAATTCCACATTATTACAAATCAAATATGAACAGCTCACAAAGATGCTAGTGAACTGTTTGAACGAGTTTCGGTCACCTGCTTCTCTGGCGGCTGTTTTTAGGTGAATCAGCAACATTCACACAAACAGTTTAGACGTATTTTATCTAAATGAAGAAGTGCATCAAATACTCGACATCAACAACAACAAAAGCCAGTTGTACATCACTTGCGTCTATATTTCAGTGGGGAATGTGCCAGATAGAATGTAATGTTTTCAGAGATGCTTTTTTGGTTCCCACACTGTTCTTCTTAAAAGGCAGGACACTGTTCTCTAAGGACGTTTTAAAAATGTTTGGTGATAACGCTGTTAGATGATTATGTCTCAGGATTCTTACACCGTTTTCTGAATGTTGCATTAATAATGGTGCTCCATTGTTATCATGTAACATTGTGGGAATGTTTTTATAATGTGTCACCTTAACATCTCCAAAAGCATCCTCAGAATATAGCAAGCACAGTGTTCCACTGTTGTTAGAATAACGTTTTCGATAAAAACATTCTGTCATCTGAGGCCTTGATAACATCTTGAAAACATGTTTTTGTTAAATTTGCTTAATCTGTGGCCCTGACAACATTATCAAAGCATTCTCTGATTGATGTGGTTAAAGTGTTTTGTTGTAGTTAACTAATAACCCATAGCAACATTATTTGAAA